AGCACAAGATCGTGTAGTTCGTTTGCTAAAGCTTTTCTAATGTCAAGTATCATTTCCTTAGACCATGAGATTGTGTAACTCCCTGATACCTTAGGAGTGCTTTGGATGTACCAAACGTCACAACGTAACTGGGTGACTATAAAGGTGCACTACAGGTATCTCCAAAAGTGTCTGTTGGGTTGGCATGAATCGAGACTGGGATTTGTCACTCCGTATGACGGAGAGGTATCTCTGGGCCCACTCGGTAATGCATCATCATAATGAGCTCAATGTGACTAAGTAGTTAGTCACGGGATCATGCATTACGGAACGAGTAAAGTGACTTGCCGGTAACGAGATTGAACGAGGTATTGGGATACCGACGATCGAATCTCGGGCAAGTAACATACCGATTGACAAAGGGAATTGCATACGAGATTGCTTGAATCCTTGAAATCGTGGTTCATCCGATGAGATCATAGTGGAACATGTGGGAGCCAACATGGGTATCCAGATCCCGTTGTTGGTTATTGACCGGAGAACGTCTCGGTCATGTCTGCATGGTTACCGAACCCGTAGGGTCTACACACTTAAGGTTCGGTGATGCTAGAGTTGTTATGGGAAATAGTATGTGGTTACTGAAGGTTGTTCGGAGTCCCGGGTGAGATCCCGGACATGACGAGGAGCTCCGGAATGGTCCGGAGGTGAAGATCGGTATATTAGACGAAGGGTATTGGAGTTCGGAATTGTTCCGGGGGTACCAGGTGATGACCATCGTGTTCGAAAGGGGTTTCGAAGGCCCCGGCAAGCGTTGGGGGCCGTATGGGCCAAGGGGAGAGGGCACATCAGCCCACTAAGGGGCTGAGTGCCCCTTCCACCCCATCTCACGTAACCAGGAGAGGTGGGGGCGCCACCCCTAGGGCAGCCGCCCCTCCCAGCTTGGGAGGCAAGTTTCCTAGGAGGTGGGGGCGCCCAAACCCATCTAGGGTTTCCCTTGTGGCCGTCGCCCCTCCCCTAGGGAACCCTAGGGCGCCTCCCCTCCTCCCTTCCCCCTATATATAGTGAGGGAGAGAGAGGGCAGCTGCACCCTTCCCCTGGCGCAGCCCTCTCCCTCCTCCAACACCTTCTCCTCCTCCGTAGTGCTTGGCGAAGCCCTGCCGGAGAACCACGAGCTCCATGACCACCATGTCGTCGTGCTGTCGGAGTTTTTCCTCAACTTCTCCTCTCCCCTTGCTGGATCAAGAAGGAGGAGATGTCCCCGGGCTGTACATGTGTTGAACGCGGAGGCACCGTTGTTCGGTGCTTAGATCGGATTCGGCCGCGATCTGAATAGCTTCGTGAACGACTCCATCGACCGCGTTCTTGTAACGCTTCCGCATCACGATTTTCAAGGGTATGAAGATACACTTCCCTCTCTCTTGTTGCTAGAATCTCCATAGATTGATCTTGGTGATGCGTAGAAAATTTTGAATTTCTGCTACGTTCCCCAACATAAGGTTGCACCAACAATCGGTCACTCACTTCTCCAACTAGCATCAATGTCCGTAGATTGCTCCCATCAAGAATCATCCATCAAATTTTAAAAAGAAACAAAGATACATGTTAGACGCCGACAAGTATCTAGATTGGAGACATAGAAAGAAAGAATCATGCACCTTGAAGAGAACAGGGGAGAAGGTAAATTTGGTTCAGTATAGGTGTTGAATTAGAAGTAGGGATCCACACGATTAACCAAACATAGAGGAGGAATAGGGATGACTCTGCTGCTGGAGTAAGGGTTACCGCATAGTGTGAGCCTTGAAAGGACAAAGCATATATAGAGGACCGAACTCGCGCCGTCCAATAGCGAATGACAAGGGCTAACCAACTACACTACACCGCACAACTGACCTAAATCCAGGGTGAATATTTAAAGTAAATCTTTGATTTTTACTGTAGCTCTTTGATTTTTAAATTATTAGAAAACATATGGGAAAAAATGTCATGAACTACAGAAAAGTTCATTGGTTTTGAAAAAAGACCGTGTTACCTAAAAATTTCATCAATTTTGAAAAATAACTTAACGATTTTGAAAAAAGTTCACCGATTTTGAAAAAAGTTCATTGACTTTGAAAAAAAGTTCAAGATTTTGGAACAAGTTCATTGATTTCAAAAAAAGTTCATCATCTTTGAAAAAAACTTCACAATTTTGACAAAAAAGTTCACGATTTTGACAAAAAAGTTCACGGTTTTGAAAAAAGTTCATCGGTTTTGGAAAAAGGCTTCATCGCTTTTGAAAAAGGTTTGTCGATTTTGAAAAAAGTTTGTCAATTTTGAAAAAAAATCATTGATTTTGAAAAGAGTTCATCGACTTGGAAAAAAAGTTCATCGATTTTGAAAAGTGTTCGTTGATTTTGAAAAAAAATTGTCGAATTTGAAAAAATAGTTCATAAATTTTGATAAGAAATTCATTGAATTCGAAAAGGTTTATCGATTTTGAAAAAGTCTTTTTTATTTTTTTTAAAAATCATCAAATTTGAAAAAAGAATTCATCGATTTTGATAAAAAGTTCATTGAATTCGAAAAGATTCACCGAATTAGCAAAAAAGATCGCACATTTACAAAAAAATAAAAAAGAATATGAAAACAAAAGTGAAAAAAAAGAACAGGAAAAAGAAGAAGAAGAAAATCTCGCGAGCTGGAGAAACAATAAATAAAGGGAAAGAGGCTTACAGACACCAAAGTGCTTCGTTGCCAAGTTGGGGAGCTCCTAGTCGACGCATCCTTAAGCGCCGGCTAGGAGAACCAGCGCCCACGCGCCCTGCAAGTGGGCCGGCCCATGAAACGTGTCTTACGCGGAAAACCCCCAAAAAAAGTGGATACTGTAGGATTCGAACTCAAGAAATTCACTCCACATCCAAAGCTGACTAACCACTTGAGCTACAGGCCATGAGTGGTTATAAATAGCGTGAGAAAACAAATAACATTACCGCGACGCTATTTGTTGCACATAACAATGTACTATATCGCATCAATTTTTTGGAAACAAAAAAAATGATGACTAGAAAATATTCATGGATTTTGAAAATAAGTTCATCAATTTTGAAAAAGGTTCATAGAAAATAAAAAAAAGTTCATGGATTTTCAACAAAAATCTACAAATTTGAAAAAAGTTCATCTACTTGAAAAAAAGTTCGTTGAATTTGAAAAAAATCACTGAATTTGGAAAAAAAGTTCATCAAATTTTAAGAAAAATTCATTAAATGAAAAAAAGTTCATCGAAATTGAGAAAAGTTCATTGAAAATTGAAAAAAATTCATTGAAATTGAAAAAAGTTCAGTGAATTTTTAAAAAAGTTCATCGAATTTGAAAAAAGTTTAGCAAATTTGGAAAAAAGTTCATTGGTTTGAAGAAAACGTTCAAGAATTATAAAAAACTATCGAGGCAGGAAGAATGAAAAGAAAAGACCAAAACAAAAACGAAAAACGATAAAGGAAAAAAGGTAAAAGGACATATGAAATAAGAAAAGAAGTAAAAAGGATGTTAGTTATCAGATCTAGCAGGGTGGTGCGGTGGTAGCTGCCTCTTAACTCAAAGGGAAGGTCGGCGGTTTGATACCCGTCGCGGGTGCTACTGTTTTTGCCTCTACCAAAAGGAAAGGAACCAGGGTAAGATGGGCCGGCCAGTGCGGGGCGCTGCAGGCGCCCGTTTGCAGGATTTGCCGCCAAGTTGTAAGTGCGCTGCTCTCTCAGACGAGACGTCCCAGGTTCGAACTATCGCACTCACCATTTTTTGATTTGATGCAGTTTTAACAGAAAAAAAGAAGAAATGGGCCGGCCCAGGCGGTGCGGGGGGTATGTGCCCGTTTGCGCGCAGCGAAGAAACATGCGAGAGGCGTCCCAGGTTCGAACCATCGCACTCACCATTTTTTGATTTGATGCAGTTTTAGCAGAAAAAAAAAGAAGAAATAGGCCAACCCAGCGCGGTGCGAGGGGTATGCGCCCGTTTGCGCGCAACAAAGAAACAGGCGCCGTTTAGGATTTGCCCTTACAGCCGGCTCTAACACAAGCTCGAACACTCTTTGTGAGAGAAACATGTGGGCCGTATATTAATGATGTACTCCCTTCGTTCCTAAATATTTGTCTTTCTAGAAATTTCAACAAGTGATTACATACGGAGCAAAATAAGTGAATATACATGCTAAAATATGTCTATATACATCTGTATGTGTTAGTCCATTTAAAATATTTAAAAAAATAAATATTTAGGAACGGAGGGAGTAGTATACTAGTATGACTAACTGTTGTATAAGTGGGCTATAAGTGACATGGCAAATCCATATAGCCAATTGTTGGTTATACTATTAACCATGCTCTGAAGAGGCAACAGTTTGAGAAAATAGAAACGCATACCTCCATTAATCATCGCCGGATGTTCCAGTAACCGATGATTGATTGCTTCTTTCACTTATTTTCTTCACCAAGTACCCGCAGCGCCGATTCGTCTCTCGCCACCCACATAATTAGTTTACATCGGCGTGCGGAATCGTCACCTCCCCATCCACGGATCGCCTGCATCGAACCCCTGTCACCGATCCAGTCGAGCGCACGTTCCACCTCCTCCTGTTGAGGCAGGTTTTTTTTTTTCTCAGAGACCGGAACACATCGATCTTAGTTTAATGGGCCAGGACAAGCGGCCCAGTTTATCAGAAAGCTCCGTTTCAGTTTGGAGCAGTAACCCATAGGACAACTGGGCTGTTTCAGAAGAGGTGACTATACACGTGAGATCAAACGGCCAGGAACGTCCTGATTGCGAAAACGGACAGCCGAAAATCTAAATCGTTATCAGGGTTCGCTTTAGGCTCGGCTATACTGTCCTTAATTTCCTCTTCAAACAATAAGAATCAGCGCAAACACAAGCACGCACCATAAATACACAGTTGCAACGCAACGTCCTGAATCGTGATCGAACCATTCCTCGTGTGATCGGGTACAGATCGACCAGGCAGTCGTCATTCTCTACTGCTCGTCGATCCATCGGCCATGGACAGCTTGCCGAAACGGGACGCCAACTACGTCCCCCTGAGCCCCGTCACCTTCCTGCCTCGCGCCGCCGCCGTCTACGCCAATCGCACCTCCCTCGTCTGCGGCGGCACCGCCTTCACCTGGCGCCAGACGCACGACCGATGCCTCCGTCTCGCCGCGGCGCTCCAGGCCCTCGCCGTATCCAGGAACGACGTCGTGTCCGTCCTCGCGCCCAACACGCCGGCGCTATACGAGATGCACTTCGCGGTCCCCATGGCCGGCGCGGTCATCAACGCCATCAACACCCGCCTGGACGCTGCCGGCGTCGCCGCCATCCTCAGGCACGCCGCCCCAAAGCTCCTCTTCGTGGACTACCAGTACATCCGCGTCGCCACTGACGCCCTCAAAAGCATCGCCATCGACGCGGCCTTGCCGTTGCTGGTGGTCATCGACGACATCGACGCGCCGACAGGAGCGCGCGTGGGTGAGCTCGAGTACGAGGATTTGCTGGCGCGAGGAGACCCGACGAGGCACCCGCCGCGCGTTGTCGAGGACGAGTGGGACGCCGTCGCGCTCAACTACACCTCCGGCACGACGTCGGCGCCCAAGGGCATCGTGTACAGCCACCGCGGCGCGTACCTGAGCACGGTGGGGCTTCTACTCCAGTGGGGCGTGGCGCACGAGCCAGTGTACCTCTGGTCGCTCCCCATGTTCCACTGCAACGGCTGGACCTTCACGTGGGGCGTGGCAGCGCGCGGCGGCGTCAATGTCTGCGTCCGCACGCCCACCGCCGACGCCATATACTCCGCGATCGCCGACCACGGCGTCACCCACATGTGCGCGGCGCCTGTGCTGTTCAACATCCTTCTAGAATCTCGCCGCGAGCCGTTGACACGCCGCGTCGAGGTGCTCACTGGTGGCGCGGCGCCGCCGGCGCCACTGCTTGAGCGCGTGGAACAGCTCGGCTTCCACGTCACGCATGCCTACGGCATGACGGAGGCGACTGGACCAGCCATGGTGTGCGAGTGGCGTGAGCAATGGGACGCGCTACCGCCGCCCAAGCGCGCGCTGCTCAAGGCACGGCAGGGCGTGAGCGCGCTCTCCCTCGCCGATGCCGACGTGAAGGACCTCAATACCATGCGGAGCGTGCCGCGGGACGGCGCTACCCTCGGCGAGATCGTGCTCCGCGGGAGCAGCGTCATGAAGGGATACTATAAGAACCCCGAGGCCACGGCGTCGGCTTTCCGCAGCGGGTGGTTCCTGACCGGCGACGTGGGCGTGGTGCACCCGGACGGGTACGTGGAGATCAAGGACCGGTCCAAGGACGTGATCATATCCGGCGGCGAGAACATCAGCAGCGTGGAGGTTGAGGCGGCGCTGTACGGTCACCCGGCAGTGCTTGAGGCGGCGGTGGTCGCCATGCCGCACCCGCACTGGGGCGAGACGCCGTGCGCGTTCGTCGCGCTGAAGAAACAGTCCGACTCCGGCGCTGCCGAGGTGAGCGAGGAGGAGCTTGTGTCCTTCTGCCGGAGCAAGATGGCGCACTTCATGGTGCCGAGGAAGGTGGTGTTCGTCGACGATCTGCCCAAGAACGCCACGGGCAAGGTGCAGAAGCTCGCGCTACGCGAGAGAGCGCGCGGGCTCGAGCCCAGAGATTCTGACAAGAAGAGGGCTGAGCCGGCCCAACCCGCCACATCCAGGCTTTGACTTTTGGGCCTGCTGACGTGGCCTGGAGGAACAGTACTTGGCCTGCCCTGAATAAGGAAACAGGAAATACCAAATGCATTGTCATGGCCGGACTTCGTTTGGAGCTCTCAAGATCATTCATGAGAAGCGGGAGCATAATGGAGAAGCTCACTCTCTCGCTAATGCTGCTTCTTCCCTACTTTTTGGGCGTCATGTGTGGCTTTCTGTTATGCCCGATACAATATGTATCCCCGCTGTGACCATTGTTACTTCATAAAATTTACAGATTCTCAAGAAAATGCATTGTCTTAAAAGAAAGAAAGTACAAGTGATTTACAGATAACTACCAATGAAAAACTTTTGGGCCTGCTAAAAATCAGTCGACTGAAATTTGACCAAGTTTCAGTAGACCTTGCAACATTTTGTGCCATCATTTGCAACATTTTTTCCTACTGGTTGCAACATCTGCCTTGCTGGTTGTGGCATGTCATTCCTCATCGGTTGTAGCACGTCATCTCACTGGTTACAACATCCTTCCTTGACGGTTATAGCATTTTAGTTAGAACGGTCGTAGTAATTGTCGTTGTTGCTTGCAATACCGTCGCAACATTTTTTGTCGCCACTTGTAGCATCCAACAGTGCCGTTTGTAGCAAAAAAACACGCTGACGTCACTCGATTGAGACTTCGTTAAGTCTCAGTAGACTGAGTTCTAGACACACCCAAAAACTTCTATGAACACAATTCAAAAGAGATTTTTGAGGGAGACTCCTTGTCTATTTTCTCATCCTACAAACATGAAAAACCTAGTTAAAGCAAGCTAAGAAAAGAAAATGGCCCTTGGCTTTTCTATGAAAATAGTACTACTTGTTTACTTGAACGAACCAACCTATGGTCGGATGTGATGACAACTGTGGTATCTCCAGACCACCAAGGGTCAAGTCCTAAACTTGACATTGGTGCTCGCATTATTCTTGGATTTATTTCAGGCTTCTCGCGATGTTCGTTCAATGAGAGGAGACGTTCCCGTCGACACGAGCCGCCTGTGATGACTTCTTAAAATCTCAAGATATTGTGCCGGCTCAGTCATGGATGCCTATGGTCCCAGAGAGCGGGGGTGGCGGCACCGAGATCCGCATGTCGATGAACTGCCGCCGCCGCCGTCTCCGCCTACATGCACGTCAACTTTTTTCCCATTGCAATGCACGTGCATATGTCCTAGTTGCTCTAAAATCAACTCGGCCACGCAACACATACCGTTTCGCTTGCCCTCAAACAGAAGAGGGCGAAACAAGAAGGAAGAGACGAGGCACCTACAGGAGAAGAGAAGCGGCGACTAGAATCTTGACCACAATGAACATCCGGGCGTGCGATACCTTCGTGTGCTTCCACATAGCTCTACGGCAACGAATGTGCTCCTTCATGCGGGCGACCCCTCCATCTCCAGATCCATCTGAAATAGAGTAGATAGAGGTCGCCGCATTAGCTCGCTCCCCCTTCCTCCCGTGGGCAACAGGCGAACCCCCGATCCCTCCGCTCCTCCGCCCCCCTCACCGTCGTCGCCAGCATGTCCGCTGGGCCCCACCAGCGCGGCAGCCCGACTTTTCCTCGTGCGTGTAGGGGGCATGAGCCCCCCTGATGGCGGAGGTGCTGCTCGGTCGGTGGCGGGGATCCCACGGCCTTGGATGCCCTTGAAGCGGCGGCGCGACCGTTGGTTGCGGGGCGGCGTGGTGGCTGGAGGCGCCCGCTCGGCCCAGATCTGGGCCCTTTTGGGTCCATCTGGGTTGGGGAGGGCCGATGGTTCGAAGCACGGCGGCGCTGCTCCCTGGTGGTGGCGGCGAGGCATCGTTGGTCTGCGGGCGATGGCAGCTTTGTCGGCCGACGTGTTGCAGCGTGGGGCAGGGGCTGTCCAGACCCATTCGGGTTCGGACGGACCAGTCGGGGCCTGGTAGGTCCCTGTCGTCGCGTCAGGTCGGCTCCGTGACGGTGGTGGAGGCTGTCCCCTCTCGCAGGCTGAGTTGCGGATGCCCCCGAGCCTGTTGTCTCCTCTTCCTTCCTCTAGGTTTTGTATCGTGGCCTCATTGAGATGGTGAAGCTGGTTCAGTTATCATGGTCGCACAGGCTGGTGGGCGGCATGTTGGGTGGTGCACTTCGGATCGTCCGGGGTGGTGGTGGTTGTTTTGGGTCAGGAGAAATCCCGGTGGCTCGTCCGGCAACGATGCGGTGACGCCTGCGACCTTCGCTGGACTTTCCTGAAGGGCGTCGGGTACCCCTTCCCAACTGCCCTCTACATGCCGGGGAAAACCCAAGGATTTGTCCGGGCAGCAGCGGTGGCTGTCGGTGTCAAAACCGACGGATCTCGGGTAGGGGGTCCCGAACTGTGCGTCTAAGGCTAATGGTAACAGGAGACTAGGGACACGATGTTTACCCAGGTTCGGGCCCTCTCGATGGAGGTAATACCCTACTTCCTGCTTGATTGATCTTGATGATATGAGTATTACAAGAGTTGATCTACCACGAGATCGTAGAGGCTAAACCCTAGAAGCTAGCCTATGATTATGATTGTTCCTGTCCTACGGACTAAACCCTCCGGTTTATATAGACACCGGAGGGGGCTAGGGTTACATGGAGTTGGTTATAGAGAAGGAGATCTAACATCCGAATCGCCAAGCTTGCCTTCCATGCAAAGGAGAGTCCCATCCGGACACGGGACGAAGTCTTCAATCTTGTATCCTCATAGTCCAGCAGTCTGGCCAAAGTATATAGTCCGGCTGTCCGAATACCCCCTTATCCTGGACTCCCTGAGTAGCCGCCGAACCTGGCTTCAATGACGATGAGTCCGGCATGCAGATTTTCTTCGGCATTGCAAGGCGGGTTCTTCTCCAAATCCAGAGTACTTGTCATAGTGAACGGTGTCCGGCCTCCCATTAATGTTATACTCCTCGGCCTCTGTGCTTTAATAATGGCCTTCTCCACGTGTCGAGCGAATACGAGGAGCCGGGGCATTTTTACATTTTCCACCCTGACTCTGTGAGCGAACCATCTATTTGAAGAGACGGGGATCCTCAGATCCAAATCTCACCATCTTCTCCCAAGCAAGCATTCAACAGAGTGCGTCTGGAAAAATCCATCCCATCATGGCCGGTCGCCGCAGCTCCTCTTCTTGCCCCTGTAATTCTGCGCCGGGTAACTGGAAAAAGTGTTTCGTCCCCCACAAGCATCTAGTAGAGTTGCAGACCCAAGGGTTCCTTCCACCTGCATATATGGTCCCCGTCTTAGCTGGACTAGCCACCTATAACGGCGGGGAGCAAGCGGAGAACTTTCCGAACCCATCTAGAGGGGACCAGATATGCCTTGTCCCATATTTGCTGAGAGGGCTTGGGTTTCCAATCCACCCATTCCTCCGCGGGCTCCTGGAGTTCTACGGTCTCCAGCTGCATAACTTCACTCCTGCCTCCATACTACACATCGCAGGGTATGTTGCCTTCTGCGAGCTATTCCTGGGCTGCGAAGCTCATTTCGAGTTATGGAAGAGGCTATTCTGCCTCGTCCCTCGCAATCAGGAGGGATCTATATATCAAGTGGGCGGAGCCAAAATATGGCGCGTTGCCCAGGCCGGATACCTGTTCGGCACTCCAAAGAAGGCATCCAAAGACTGGCCTTCGGAGTGGTTTTATGTAGACGATGTTCCCCTTCCGGACCCAGTCCGGCCGGGCCTTCCCGAGTTCACCAACGCCCCGCTGAAGAAACGCCAAAACTGGCGCCCGCGGAGCCCCCAGGAGGAAGATGACAGAGAGGTCCTCTATCTGATGGGCAGGACAAAAATACTGGCCAAATCAGGATTGACAATAATAGAAGTCATGTCAATATGCATAATGCGGGGGGTGCAGCCACTTCAATATCGGGGGAAATCCATGCGGCACTTCAACGGAGAAGACGACGCTACCCGCTGCGGTCGTAAAGGTCCGGACTCCGCCACCGCACTGGCGAAAATATTATCCGATTTGTACAAAGGGGAAGAAGAGGAGTTCCTTCGCATTAAGCCGCGGGATGGATTTTCCATGTACAACCCCCAAGCTGGGTAAGATGTCATTCCTCACTCGACTCTATTCATCCCTTTGTCCTTTGTCACCAACCATTTATCCAGCTATTTTCAAAGCAGGAACTGAGAAGGGCCACAGAAGAGTTCAACAGCCCACCTCCCCAGCCAGAGGATCCTGGTCGGGCTCTCGACCCCGGACTTGAAGAAGATCCGGATATATCTGGAGCTTGTCGACGGGACATTCTATCAAGCAAGCCGCGACGACGCCTTGGTGGCCATCCTGGCCGATTATCCCGGGCTGCTCCCAATGTTGAATGTAAGTAAAGCCGGAGCCCTAACTTCCGAATTATGCCGTGCCTTAAGTGCACATGTTGTATTTTTACAGAAACGGCCATCAGGACGCCGTGCCGAGCCCAGGGGGGCTCATCAGCAAAGGGCACCCGGGTCGGGCAGGCTTAAGAGAAAGGCAGTTAGGATTGAGACGCCGGGGTAGAGGTACAAATTAAGCTTGCTCCGTGAATATCTTTGCCGAAATGTGACAGTTTTCATTATGTCCTGGCAGAAAAAACATCCGCCGGACTATATCCGGAGACCCTGCCGACCATGCCTCAAGCAACTGGATTCCTGAACCGGACTCACGGGTGGAGGCTGATGTGGGGGCAACTCTGAATTGCCCTCCCATAGAGGATGCGGGCAGGCTTTCCGCTACAAACTCCGAAGTGGAGAGCGCCATGAATCACTGACGCAGACGGGCCGTACTCCGCAATGGTATTTTCTCCGAGGAGGCTTTCAATTCCTTCAACTTCGGAGACGCATATATTCGCGCCGCTCAAGATGGACTTGCAAGAGCGACGGACCAGTATGTGAAGGATATACGAGTAAGAAAATTTGATAAGTATGTGTAGTAGTAGCCCCTGAGACTTGAAACAGTTGGCACAACTAATTTAAGGATCATTGTATGCATAGGTTCTTGTAGAGAAG